TGCAAATCAATTTGGGAGTTATTTTGGAGTGAGTCATTGTTCCCTGTTGCACCGCTACACCGGATCTCAGAGTTCCCTCACCTACCAAATCCCACCTTAACCTCTGCCTGGCCCGATCCAGAGACACTGCAGCACAAACTGCTGAAAACCTTAATGAAAGGGCCAGAACACACCATGTATTGCAGCTTTGCTGTGTATGGAGCTGACCGGTGAAAGTATCCACGCTGACCCCTGTCCACTGCTGAAAGCACCTACAATGGGAACACGAACATCAGAACTGGTGAAGCCATCAAAGAAGGTGGCCTTGTCTGCTGAATCGAGTTTTCTTTTACATCATGTGGGCAGCCAGGTGCAGGGTGCTGTTTACCTGGAGAAGAGACAGCAGCAGGATGGGAAGCAGCCGAGCCAGTGGAGGCGCCGCGGTGCTCTGGGCAATGTTCAGCTGGAAGACCTTGGAACCTGGCGTTCACGGGGATGTTGTTTTGACTTCTACACCTGACCTAAGCCTTGCTGCAGACCAGGCACGCCATGACAGCTGCACTCCCTGATGGCCTCCCAGCAGGACAATGCACCCAGAGCGGCTGAAGGAACATGATAAGGAGCCCCAAATCCCATCCTGATCCAGCAGGATGTGCAAGAACAAACTGGATCCACAGAGGTTCCACCCCACAACTCACATGACCTCAGTTCAAGGCCGTACAAGACACCACAAGAGTTCCCACAAGTCAGAGGTGTTCTGGCAGCATGAGGGGGAGCTACACAGCATTAGCAGAGTGGTTTTAATGTTGTGGCTTTGCGACCTCAGATAAACAACGCTGTGAAACTGTGTCATCATGTGAGATGCTCATTGGGCTCAGTCTCTCCCACCACACCTACAGACTTGCTTCTGGTGGGTCACTACGCTATACGACTAGGATAAAAGTCAAACCGGGCCCGAGTCTCCTGGTAGATCTTCTGCGTCTGTACAATCCCGACTTCTGGCACGTCTAGCCTGGCAGATCCCACGTGTGAGTGTGAAGCAAAGCTTTGCCGAGAAAGAGCATCTGCTGCCTTTAAACTCTTCTTGGAGCAGGGCAGACAATTCTATCAAACCCGGGTTGTGTTTTTTTTTTTTTTTTTTTGGAAAGGTTTGTGAGTCAGTGATGTAGAAAGATGGTTCTCAATCTTTCTGGTTCAGGGCCCCCCCCCGGCTTTGACCCCTTCTGTTGTCAAGAAAAATGAACATTTCTGCAGTTATTCTCTTTGAGCTCCAAAGAGGTTAAACTTGTTCTGATCCGAGCGGTGAGAAACGGAGAGATGACCAGCATCACCTGAGGGTGGGCAGCAGACTGACAGCGATAGGAGAGGGCTTCCTGCACTTGTTGTGATGTCGGAGGAAGGTGAGAAGTAAAAAAGTTGTTTTTCTCCCGCAGTCTGTCTTTTTTCTTTTTGTTCTGTTGGATCCCATCTTTTCCTTCCCGCTGCTGTCCGTAGTCGAACCTGCTGTCTAATCTCTCTTAATGTTTGCAATCATTTTGCTGCGATGAGGATTTAAAAGAAATCATAAATCACCAAAGATGTCTGGCTGTGAATAACTTGGACGCTATTTTGAATGAATTACTGTCAATGAATTTAAAGTAAGGAGGGGAATTATGCCGACACCACTTTTGATTTTTAATTTTGCAAATCAGTTTTGCGCGTCCTGAGGAAGGCGAGGTGTGTAGCTGGTTCTGAAAAGCGTTTAGTTGTTGCTTCCTCTGCTTATGTTTATCCGCAAGCATCAGGGTGTCTTCACTGCTCGCACATCTCCGGATTTAATGATTAGCTGCCCAGAATAATGATCGTATACTGTAGCACTGACGTGTATATGTGGCTAGACTTTCACTTCAGTTCTCACAAAGCCCTTTAAGTGATATAAATTCTCTCCTACCTGTCAACAGGCCTTTAAACAGACTTCAAAATGAGAGCAACACTTTTGAATAGCTTCTCTCGGGAGTTGAGACAAAGTGAGAAGTCCGACAAGCATTGCAGGAAAAAGTGGGACTTCTATAATTAAGGAATTTGGCTGCGTGGGACTCATCCCAACTGAAAGTAGAACGGGTCAGCGCCTGTGGTCAGCTTTTCCGTTGGATATGCACAAGCAGCCACGGACGCCGAGAACCAGCTTCCGAGATCACATCCCTCCTCGTTTGTGGCGTAACTTCCATCGCAGGTCGCATTTGAAGAGTTACGCTCTGAAGTGACAACACAATCTTAGTGATGAATGCCTTCCTTTTTGTGATATAATGGATATTTGCTGCCTCTGGGCTTCCTCTAAGAGTGACAAGTAAAAACACCATTACAGGGGAAGAGAGGAATAATAGTTTGCTATCAGATTGCGCCATTTATTTATGTCTTCAGCAAATGGGGTGCATTTTTTAAAAACTTTTTGGGGCTCATACAGTTTAAAATGTTCAGTGTTTGCATGAGCCAGCTTTCAATATTTGTACAAGCTGAGTTTCTACACTGAATAATGCTTCTGTTTTTTTGTCACTATGGAGAATCATCTGCAATTCTTTTTTATTCAATTTTTCCAGTGGGGCCCTCTTTGGTATACAGACGCTGCATTTGTACAAATATTACTTCTTTTTTTTTTTTTTTTTTACCGCACGCTTGCTGAACTAATGCCTTGCTTCAGCTGCGGCTCCCCAAGAGGAATAGTGCAGTTAAAAAAGATCTTTCAAGCTTAAGTCACGGGGAATACTGCTGGCTGGCTGGCTGGCTGGCTGAGGGGGAGAAGTCATTGAGCGAAATTAGAATAATATTTTAAAATGCACCGATTTGGTTCTGCTCCATAACGTGGACGGATGACCGGTGGCCTAGACGTTGTGACGAGGGGGGAGGCCAGAAAAATGTGTGTTGGTGGGAAAGGAAAAAAGGAGCATCCAGTTCACATGGTGGAGTCAGAGGGAGAAGTTCAGAGGACTGATGGAGGAACAGAGATACAATCACTGGCAATCACATGACTGCTAATTACAGACACGTTCAGGATGCATGTATAGGAGCATGTTCATGTGTTGGATGCCCCCCCATCACACATCACATGGTGGTCTCTTCTTTAAACTTGACACTAGGGGGGGCTGGTGCTCCTTCCTAGCCTTCCAGGGCCATGGAGTTGGACAGACAGGGAGGGAGGCAGAGATGCTCACGTATCTCCATCTCCGGAAATCCTCCCATCCCTCGGCTGATTTGCAATTCAATAAGTCACAATGTCATATCTTTAGCTTTTACACATTTAGCTGACAAAGGGAACCAGGCATGCTGCCGTATGAAATATGGTCTCGGACTTAAAGAAGACCTTAATGTTCTCTCTCTCTCTCTTCTGATTGGCTGAAGGGCCCCAACATACACAAACACGCACAAACACGCACATACAGACACGCAGGTCCCATCAATAGAGAGTGAATGAGCTTTATTACAAGGTGCTTTGTGGATCACGTTTTGCAGTTTGCGCGAGCTGCCCACGCGCGTGTGTGTGTGTGTGCGTGCATGTGCGCGCGTGCTCGTGCCAAGTTGGCGTCTATCGATTACAGAGAGAACAGGTGTAGCGTGTGTCTTTGGATGAATAATGCAGAGAGAGGCTTTGAAAGGATAAACAACACGCGGACGCGCACGCGCACGCGCCACCAACACCGACAGCACATGGAAGGAGAAGCAGGGCCCGTCTTATGGGATGTATATTCTTATTTTAAAGTTTTCCTTTTCTTTCAGTCTCTCCTGCATCAGAGCCTCTGGAGCACATTCCTGCTTCCTCAGATGATATATAATGTTGTTTTTAAGTTATTGCCTCATTTTTGTGCGTATTTTAGTGTTTTATTCTCTGTTTTATTAACAAAAAATACACCCAGGAGTTATTTCTTCAGGGTCTCTCCGGTGCATTCCTCCATAATGAGTAATGAGCCTAATCAAAAGTGAGCCATACAGGCCCTAAAGAAGTCTTCAGCTATAAAAAGGAGCGAGAAATATCTAAATAAAGTCCTATACACTCCATTGGTTGCTGAAATGTCACTCAAACCCCCCAAATCCCGCCCCTCATCCCGCACCCTCACCCTCCTCTGGCCCTCCTCCTCCTCCTCCTCTTCCTCTCCCCTCTTTTTCCTCCTCCTCCTCCTCTTCTGCCGGCTGGTGGAAGCGTCAGACCTCCTCCTCTGTCCTCACCTCTCCTCCTCCCTCCATCCCGCGGACGAGTGTACACAGACTCTCAAGTTGAGCTCAGACGCGCACACGCCGAAACAGCAAAGAGGAGGACAGTCGGAGGATAGACTAGAGGGGAGGATAAGGAGGAAAAGAGAAGGAGAGCGGACGCGGAGCTGCTGCCGGGGCGCGCAGGAATTTTGGATTTTATTTACCACTCGAGCCTTAAGTGTAGTTTTGTTGGCTATTTTTTTTTTTCTCCTCTTTTCTTTTCGCTCCAAATCGCCCATGAAGTGGACTTTTAAATTCGTTTGCGGATGGAGAGAGAAGTTCTGGTGACACTGACGATCTGTTTCAACTTTGGCAGAAGGACAGAGACAGTGAGGCTTCCTCAGCTTTCACCGTCCCGTTTGGATAAATAAACCAGAGGAGCGCACCGGTTGGAGAAGAACGGGGGAAAAAACGGGTTCATTCATCGGTTTTGGCTTGAAGGAGAGACACGGCACAGAGTTGTTTTTTGGGGAAGGGAGGATTTTTAAAAAAGGAGAAGAAGACGCCAGCCTGCACCGGAATTGCCCATCGGGGTTTTCTTTTTTATCACTGACTCCAGAAAGGATTTATAGTTTACTCCAAAACCCTCGTCTGCTGCGCGGTGTCTTCGGTCAGGCGCAGCGGGAGCGCAGTTTGGTCAAAATGAGATTATTGATGGCACGGATGCGATAGTGATCTGTCTGTTCGGGGGGAAAAGGAAAACGCTTAAAAAAAAAAAATTGAAGATCCAGTTTTAGTCCGTTTTGTGAACAGTCCCGGAGGTGTTTTTTTTTTTTTTTGTTAAACCGACAGGAGGGATGGAGACGGTCGGGAGAAGAGGGGGCGCGCCGCTGGGATGTCTCCTCTGGAAGACGCTGCTTCTTCTTTTCCTGTGGAAAGGTAAGAGAGGCGAAAAACTTGTTGCCAGCTTGAGGTTCTGGCGTTTCAGATGCTGTGGGCTTGAAATCCGGAATACCACATGCATATTTTTCTCTGTTTTATTCTCTTTGCAACGAGAAACCTTGTGGGGAAACTCAACTTCTGCCTTGTGCATCGCGTTGCATGAGTTATTGGTAATAAAATGTTCCCCTGGTTGGATTTGGCACGTTGGTGCGCTTTGGAGAGGGGTGTCAGAAACCCATCTGTCACAGAGAGGATCTCAAAACTTAGTTCACCACATCTCTCCATCCTGCAAGAGAGAAAAAAACAATAAGCAGCATTCATCACTCCAAAGTGTCAGACTGGTGCAAGTTGTGAGGAGTGACATTAGATTGTCTGTGTGATCAGAGGCTGGAGGTGTTGGCAACACTTCAACACTCTGCTCTGGAAACTGAAATGAAATAACTTTCCTTCTTTATGAGAACAAATCCCAAAATTTGATGGAATAGCCAACAATCACACTGACACCTCCTGTATGTGTGTGGAATAATAAGCAAGCGACTGAGCCGAAGCATCAAATGACAGATGCGTCCAAACTGGTGCCATCTGAGACACGCGAACCCCGGCTAGTCGGAGGCTGACTGGCTCGTGTGCCAGTTCGAGGTCTCTGAGAGGACCAGGGAGGTGATAGCAGAGCGGATCCCAAACAAATGTTCACTTTTCTTATTTTTAAATTGAGAGCAAAATAAAATAAAATAAAATAAAATATATATACAACCTCTGGGATATAACCTCTTGTGCGCACTTGCAGTCAGGTGGTTTAGAGATGTGTGTCAGCTGTAGGAGGCGATCTGAAGGATTTTCTTAATGATATGAGGTCCTTTAAATCCAGAGAAGATCAGCTGCCCATCTTAGAATTTACTAGAATGACAGTGAAGTGACACAAAACGACGTGTAATTGCCTCAGTCGTTAGAAACTGTGTTTAAATTGGAACAAGACTCTTTGTTTGGCTCAAAATTGCACAAAAAGAGGCGAGAGGTCAAAATCTCTCCATTATCCGGGTTAAAGGAAGAGCTGACTTCTGGAGAGAACTCTTTAAAAGGCTTTCATGAGGACCTGAGGAATTATAAAAACACAGATTAAGCGCTCATATGAGCCTAATTGAAGCTACAGAGGAGTGTTTCTTATTTGTGCACGTTGCTGCTCAAGAGCACTAAAACAGGGCTGAGACATTCAGAATGCAGGTCGGGTAACACCACCACCACCACCACCCACTTACTCCAAGGAGAGAGAGAGAGAGAGAGAGAGAAAACACCCCGAAGAAACGGCATATAAGATAAAGAAGGCTGACGGATATTTTGGTGATGCCTTTTGAAGCGCTCCGAGCGCGTTTGTTACGCCTCCGTTTTCCGCACAAATGACAGCCCTTTGGCTTTACTATCACATCCCCCCGTGAGTGTCTCCTGTCTGTGTGCGCGGTTGCAGGGCCCGTGTGTGCGTGTTTTTTAATCAGCTCCCGATCACTCACGGCCCACTGAGCAGTTAACAGTCGCTGCGTTGTGCGCTCCCGAGCGCGGCGGTGGCGGCCGTGGTGGTGGTTCGCGGTCGCGGCGCACAACGACGCGCAGACTGGAGACGGCGAGTCGGGGTGACGCGCCGGAAAACAGCTGTGGCCGGCAAAAAATGGCTGAGCAAAGGCTGAAACCGTCCAAACATTCCCTCTCTGGCTCTCCTCGCGTAACCTTCTCCCCTCTTATCGGCTGTTTTGTTTTTCTTTTTTCGAATGAAATACAAAATCCTGAATGTTTCCTCCTGTCCAGGGACTGTCTGTACCTTGTGTCTGACAGTGCATACTGCTCTTTGACTGCATGTTTAGTAGCTCCCTTGGTGGCGAGGATAGCCAGTAGTATATCTCTTTTCTTGTTCCCTTTCAGTCTCTTAGTCAAACACACACACACACACACACACACACACACACACACACACACCCATGCAGGGCCGGTCCAATCCAACTTGGCTGAGGTTAAACAGTTTTTATTGGACACTGGGGAACTCTGGCTCTAATGGTGTAATGGCCACCTAAGGCTGTTTAAAAAACCAAAACACCAGCCTTCCCCTTTCTCCTAATCTCCCCCTCTCTCTCTCTCTCGGTCTTTCTCCTCGATCTCTCTCCCTCTGTCCTGTTGTGCATTTCCAGATTCGGCACATCCTGCACCCTCAGTGCAGGTGCTCATTTGTTGGTGCATTGCTTTATGCATTTACAGTAGGTGTACGTCTGTGCTCTCGATTAGTCACAGAGGCCCCTGAGTCACCTGCATTTGTGTGCGTGCTGCTGCCTGTCATACTGTAGCTGTCATCTGTACTTAAGGATTTTCCACCCCCAGATTTGACTCCAACCACAGAAAGCAACACCTTTTAAAACATTTTCTGCTCGGTTGTTTCTCCCTTTTTTTTTTTGGGAGGCACTGCACGTCACAGCAGCTCTAATAAAAGAGTCACTTATTGGACTTTTTGTCACCCTCCTCGCCCTCCCCGTCGCATATTTGTGTCACTCTCATGAGCCTGAGTGGCATTTTGTATTTTCGTGTCACTCAGTTTCGGTGTAATTGCATCATTCTGTTATTTCATCATCCAGGTCGTCTCCAGGATGTCATTGTGGGTTTGTTCAGAAGCCAGGCATCAGAGAGACGCCTGCTCAGAGGCAAACTGTTAGTGTGGTCTTAAAGGTTCAGAGGCTGAACAGTCGCAGGGCGTCGTGGCTGGGTTCTGTCATCTCGGCAGGAGGAATTCCCTGTACGCCGTCGTGCCGTCGAATATGTGGGGTGTTTGCAGGTTAGCCATTTCAGCTGCAAGAGGCATTAATGGTTCGACTAAACTGGCTTCTAAGTTCTCTGGTTTCTGGTGGGTTGAGCTGAGGAAAGAAAATCCATTTTTAATACCAGCATCAATTTGTAATGTTCAGTAAATTATCAGAGTGTTCCCTCGTTTTCTTTGACTCACTCCTCCTGCAGGGGCGGCACATGTACGTCCATAAGCTGTATGATTCGGCCGCCGCTGCTGCTGCCCTCAGCTTGCTGATTGACATTTCAGCTCCTATTGATTTGCTGCAGACATAATGTGTCAGACGGTTGTAAAAATTCAGAAAAATAAGTCGTCGCAACGGAGAAGTGCCAAAGATACAGATGTATAATTTGTCCACCCGGAGAAGACTGGCAAGTTTATTTTTAAGCTGTAAAATGTCAGCCTCTACAGTTTAGAAAAAACAAAAAAAAGAGAACAGAGAAATAAACAAGAGCTCCTCATGTAGGAAGAAAAATATTCAATAAATGTTGGCCGGTATACTGTACACAGTCACTGCAGCTTTTAAAATTCTCAAATGCCAACATCTGTATGGCCTCAGGGATCTTTTACTAATACATATAATAATAATAAAGCCCACTAGTATATATTATCTATACTAATTAAGCATCTCCAGGGAAAACACTTGCTTCTAATTGGCTGAGGATTGGAGTCATGTTTAACAGATTACCTCCGTCGCTCGTTTCAACCCTCTCCTGCTTTTCTGTATTAAACGTGTTCACTTTAACGGATGACGGCAAACTCTGCCTTTTCAGCCGCTGGAACAGGCGTGTGGCGGCGATTCTACCTCATGTGTCAAAGCCTGACTGTGTGTGCGTGTGTGTGTGTGTGTGTGTGTGTGTGTGTGTGTGTGTGTGTGTGTGTTGCTCGAGTGCGTTTTGCACTACGCTGTTAACCTGTAGCAGAATGTCAGCACTATGCACCATTACTCATGCAATACAGAGCATTAATAATTACTGACAGAAAATCACTGACACACACACACACACACACACACACCTACACACACACACACACACACACATTGGTCGTCTCTCACCCGGTCCTCTCTATATGCTGCTCTCTCTCTCTTTCTCCTTCCTGCTTTCTTTGTGTCTCATTGTTGGTTTCATTCACCGACTGACTGACTCATTGAAGCGCACACTTGCACACGTACGCAGCACATTCGAACACACACACAGGCTGCTTATTCTCTGAGAAATAAGTAAGCGAGAGGATTGTGAATTGGACGAGGGACATTTTCAGAGATGGAAAATGTGAACTTTTAACATTTACTCATGAATGCAGGAGGGGGGATGATGTGATGGAGGAGGGCGGCGTGAGCGTGTGGCCGCTAAACACCATGTTGTTAGAAAATCATACCCCTTCAGCGTGAGCCTTTTTCCTTCTGTTTCACACACACACACACACGTGCACACACACACACTCACACGTGCACACGAGGCTTTTTGTCATGGCGACGGTGAGAGGGCAGAGCACAGAGAGGGAGACGGAGATGCAGCAGAGAAGGTCACAGAGACACCGAAAAACCCAAAGTGGGTGTACTAGAAGAAATGGACATGAGACGCTCTCCACTCTGTGCCTGTTTTTTTTTTTTTTCCTTTCCTTCTTCTTCTTTTCTTCCACTGGTCATGAAATTTCACTTTTTCCTGTATTGATTTTTGTGTGTCTTGTATGTTCCGGCGTGAATGCAAGGTCACCTGTTGGGGGGAAAGTAGACGAGAAAAACTCTCCCGTCTTTCAAAAAACTATCGAACCGATCAATCGAACTTTATTTGTGCGGCACCTTTAGTGCAGGTTGGAGCGATTTGTGGTGCTTTGCAGACGAATGCTTGATAGAAGCTAGTGCAGGACTGCAGGTAAATGGTGCAGGTGTGGTCGACTGAAAACATGCAGACAGTCTTCACTGGATCACGAGCAGAGCTGCAGCTAGTGATCGCTTTCAGTGTTGATTTATCTGCTGATTATTTCCTAGATTAATCAGTTTGTTTTTTAGTCTATGGGATTTCTAAAAATGCTCATAATTGTTGCTCAGTGTTTCCTAAAGACCATTATTATTATTGTTATTATTATTATTATTATTGTTATTTTTATTATTATTATTATTATTCAGTTTACTGTCACAGATGCCAGAAAATATTTAAAGGAAAATAGTTGGACT